GAGCTGAAAGTGTGCCTGGTCAGAGAGGACGGTGCTCAGAGCCACCATGGGATGGAGAAGACTGGCACACTGAGCCTAGAAAGAGGATAGGAAAAAATTACGTGATGCGCAGACAACTTTGGGTGTATGCATTAAGGCACACAAGCTGATGATGAAGGCCTGGCGTAAGCCTTAGCTAAATGACCCAGACTGTGGGAAACTCCTGAGCACAACAAGAGAAATTGCTGAGCATAGCAAACAGAGTGAGAAGCTGACAGGAGTTGCAGTGCCATGAGGAAGAGCTAGATTTCACAGGTAGCTGAGGGGGATTGATATGACAGGTGGCCACACTTGACAGATAACTGAAGGAAGAGCTGGGGTCATTTTGGGGAAAGGAATCTGGCAGGGACAGCAATACCCAGGAAACTCCATCAGTAATGCCATGGAAGTCCAAGACGGCATAGCTAACAGCACCTCAAACACCACATCTGTTCCCAGATGTGGCAAACCAAGGGGGAAAGCAAGGGGGAAAAAATAACCAGGGGTAGGTCCCTTGTTTGGGAGGGGGCAAGGGCGGAGAAAGGCAGGAGCCAAGGAAGATGAGGGGGATGTACAAGCATGGCAAATAGACAGAAGGAGCCGGGGGGGAGCGGGGTCAAGGAGCTGGTCACACATAAGCAAAATGCTGGTTGGTTTGCTTGTTTGACTGAGCCCTGCACTGAATCAGTGCGTTGTTAAAGGAGCAGCTGCTGCCCAAGCACTCACACACCATTCAGGGAGTCACACACGCACCACCCGAGATTTGAACTGATCAGACCAGTGTGCCTTCACAGCGGCAGCTCCATTGAGCTAACGGGTGCCCCTTTCCACTCCCCACACACTGACTCACTCTCAGATGCATTCTCTCCCCTCAGGCTCGACCTCAGGTTTCTCCAAAGCAGAGCCTTCGACATGACGTATGCGCGAGGCGGATTTATTGAGTGGTACAGCGGTAACTGACAGCTCAGGCTGGGTGCTTCCAGAGAGGGACCCTGAACAAAGAAATCCCTGGGCAATTATACCCTTACCGTTTAAGTTCTCTTCCCCTCATGTGATGGTTTGGTCCAATAGCAATATTTGGGTCTGGGGTCTTCTTGTTCTTTATTGGATCCTTTGTCTCCAGGCGAGACATTCCTTCTCTTATCTTAATGGGTACAGCTTCTGCTGATGGTTGTGGCTACTTTCTCTTTCTGGTTTGCACTGGTTTCAGGACCTTCTTTCACGAAGCTAAGTAGGAGTTTGGCATGCAGTCATAGTATCTAGATGACAGTTCCCAGTTTTCAGCCCAAGGCTTTAACAGGCCTTACTGCTAACGCTTTGTGTTAGACTCTGTTTGAGCTAGGTAGTGCCTTCTGCAACACTTTGAGGGGGCAGGGGGGGAAGACTGGAGGCTGGACGAGGCTCCTGGAGGTTCTCTGCTGCAAGGGCAGCTCCTGGTGGGACCACATTCAAAGCTCCTCTGATGGACGGTAATCCTTTGCAGCTGGAAAGCAGCAGCAAGACCAAGGGAATGCCTTCTAATGTCAGTTACCTGTGACAGCCCTGAAACGTAACAGAGTGGAGTGGTATCATCATTACTGGAATTCCAGTAATTACTGACCCAGATTGTGGCTCAGATGGAAATTAACTGATGACTAAAGCCAATCATCTCACAATCCTATAAACCAAGGCCTATAAACATGCCAATGCCTATAAACAAACCTATAAACCTGAGGAGCACTGCAGAGCTCGCTGTCCTCATCCATCCCCTGTGGAGACAGGGGCAGCAGCTGTAAGAAATGGAATGCACAGATGTTGCTTTGGAGTAGCCACTGGTGTCCTGCCAGGCACGGGAAGGATTTTTGCGCCCCAGGTCAATCAGGCTGTGGGCATTTTGCCACTCTCAGAAGCCCCTGAGATGGCTCCTGATTGAGAGAGAAGAGGGGTTGGGACTCTTCTGGAGGCATGAGCAGCCTGTGGGACGAGGAGGCAGGTCTTGCTTGTATGCTCAGGGAATAGCAGTGGTGGTGCATCCTGGCCCCACCTTTTCTCTCTCTGACTGCTTTATGACCTCAGGAATTCCTGCCAGACCGTGGCCTTTCTGTAGTGAGGTGGTCGGTTAGACACCCCTTAATTGTACCAGAAACTCCTACATGGTTGATGTGGAGAGCGGCCCTGCCCTTATCAGAAACTCCTACAAGGTTGACACAGGGACGAAGAACAATCAGTTACCCCTGACAGCTTTGAAATGTAAAAGAGTGGAGCGGTATCATCGTTACTGGAATTCCAGTAATTACTGACCCGAATTGTGGCTCAGATGGAAATTTAATGATGACTAAAGCCAATCATCTCATGATCCTATAAAACAGTAGTCCTAAGTGAGGCCCTCTGAGCTCTCCTGGACTGCAGTGGGCTGCACCAGCATCTCCCTCCAAGTGCAACACCTCTCAGAGCTAACAAACTTAAAGTTTGCTAAAATTGGAGGTCCATTGCCAAAGACCGACAGTGGAGCCTGGGCTGAAACCCTTCACTCCTTGAGGCTCAACCCTCGCCCGTTGAGAAATGCCAAGACATTATCACAGAATCATAGAATCGTTTAGTTTGGAAAAGACCTTTAAGATCATCCAGTCCAACCATTAAAGTCCACACTAAACCAATCAAGGGTAGACTAGACTAAACCATGTCCCAAAGTGCCACAGCTACCCGTTTTTTGAACACTTCCAGGGATGGTGACTCCACCACCTCTCTGGGCAGCCTGTTCCAATGCTTGACCACCCTCTCCATAAAGAAATTTTTCCTAATTTCCAACCTAAACCTCCCCTGGCGCAGCTTGAGCCCATTTCCTCTCGTCCTATCGCTAACTACATGGGAGAAGAGACCAACACCTACCTCAATACAACCTCAAGTAGTTGTAGAGAGCGATAAGGTCTCCCCTCAGCCTCCTCTTCTCCAGACTAAACAACCCCAGCTCCCTCAGCCGCTCCTCATCAGCCCTGTGCTCCAGACCCTTCACCAGCCTTGTTGC